GGGGGGTGAGGTTGCCCAAACAGACAACATTTGTGGAGTTGACAGGTGAATATGGGATTTTCCCAAGGAATCAAATGTCACAGAGGAATGTTCGTGCTTTTCAAGACGTTCGAGGAATCATGAATACATTGCTATCCTTTCATAGACTCGCAAACGGGAAAACGGTACAGTCGTAGATGAAGATTTGCCCTGAGAATGCAGACCGTTGAGATGTAGGAAAGTCATTGCTGCAGACATCGTCCACGGACAGACGTCTCATGGGGCTCAGCTACTGAATTCTACACCCTGGTGACGTTTAAAGGGGTGCGAACTGTGTTTGTTCGACCTGAAATAGTCGTTTTGACTGGGAATTTTTAGTTCTGATTCTCTACAGGTCCAAATTTCCGGACCTTGTGTGATACTTGCGAAATGAGTTGGTGGTGAGGAAATGTTCAATACAAAAAGCTCTCTCCTCTGTACTAATCTTAAGCATGATCTCAGCAGGCAAAGGAAACTTGAGAAAAACTATCTGCAAACTTCTGTCGGCCTGTTAGACTACTACTGTAGTTTGCAATATGGCGCAATCCTTGGGATTTTTAATGGTGAGCCTAATGCGAACTGGTGCGTCATGCCACAAAGATGGGAACGTAGCTGAAAATGGGTTGTTTTTTTACGCGCTAGGTAGAGCAAAATAATTTTATGGATTTATCAAAAATTAATGTCAGACAAATTCCTTTTGACTTCCAAATGTTGTGTACAAATTTGGAACGCAAAACTTCAGTGTGGAGGAAAATATTTAAAAAAAAAGTTGGACAGCTGTTTTTTTAATTTTTTAAAAATCATATTGTATATTGTCTCCTCCACGTTGTCGGCGAGTTGGCTTCGCGATGGCTTCTCCCGGGGGGCTTCCCAGCTTATCACATCTTTCATCATTCCCCCATTTTTTCTTTTGTTTTTCTGTCTTTTTTGCTCTTTTTCCCCCAATAAACCAACCTTGCTTTATATTGACGTCATCAGCTGGTGCTGGTTTTAGCTTTAGTTTTAGTTTTAATAAGAGTTTTACGGCACCTACCACACAATTAGACTACGTAAGTGCCGAAGATTAGAGGTGTTATAAGAGAGTAACAAGCACAAGAAAAATAGGAGGAGAGAAAAGGGCGATAGATGTTTGTTGATAGGAAAGAAGGAGCAAACCACACCAGAGCACCCGCCAACCACCCGTGTGTTATTTTGGCGTTTCAGTCGTGCATTTCCATAATATATTTGCTTCAGTTGCCATTATAGCTTTACGCAAGCTGGCGTCTATGGTGTAGGGGTTTGAAGCTTGGCTATTGCACGCAGGAGACCCGAGTTCGATTCCCCAGTGGGAAGAAATATAACTATTTATTTTCATTCTTCTTCTTCTTCTTCTTCTTCTTCTCCTTCTCCTTCTCCTTCTCCTTCCCCTTCTCCTTCTCCTTCTCCTCCTCCTCCTC